CAGCAGGTGAATATAAACCAGAACGTGGGTCATTTATGAACAAGTCACCAGTAAAAATGAAGATCTCCAGTTCTTTAAATGGTTTTCAAATGATGTCACCATGGCTGTAGTAATGGTCAGCAAAACACTTCCCATGCCTTTACAATCTATCCAAGGTATTGTCAGAGTAAAGCAACCAATAACCTGTGGTTAGTGAAAGATATGGTGGCAGTAAATACTTTCTCATTCTCTCATGACAGGAAATACAGTAGGATCATGGATGTTTATGGCTGTGCAAGCTGGGAATTTACATTAATTGGTTCAGAATTATGATTTTTTTTCAAAAATAATCACATCTGAATCAATGTAAGATTTAAAGAGGCCTTTGAATAAGAAAAAAAATGGAAATTAAATAAACCCGATGGCTTTTTTTATTGCAAACATATTTTAAGACTCGACAGCAGTTGCAGTGTTCCCCTAATTTTTGCTATAAAAGGGAAGTAAAACAACAGTTTATTGTAGCAATACTTCATAGTGCCCTACTTCTGTAAATTGTCTTTAAGCTCTAGGGTAAAGACGGAACATTCATGTTTTTAAATTGGATACAAAAGCAGTTTCTATGCTGTAGCTGCTGTAGCATAAATTGCTACACAGAGAATATCAGATATGTCTAAACATACTGCTGCTCAGCAAATTGCAAACATATTTTGGCTTGCTTTACCTACACTATAGCTGCCACTCCTGTTAAATACTTTCTGTTGGGAAGGTATAGTGCAGACCATTAAAATGTCTTCTACACAAGCACCAAACCATGTTAATTGACCCACATTTTTTAAAATGTTTCAAAAAGGTTTAATTCAGTTTAAGCAGAAATAGACTGGCCAGTGTGAATGAATTTAAGCCAGCTCTTGTACAGCATGAAGAAACAAACATAACACTCACAGATTACTGAAACAACAAAACCTCATTCAGTTTCCATTGGAGACCTAATGTGTGTCACTCACAGAGAAACAGGTGACACCTCCAAATTTTGGAAGAAATGGGAGATGAGAAACTCAGTCACCACTTTTTTTCCAGGAAGGTCTCTCACAGGCGACAGCTACAGCCAGTGCTGTAGCAAGGCAGGGGCGAGCGGGGTGACCACCCTGGGTGCCGAAGCCAAGGGGCACCAACAGGTGCTGCCCCACTGGAGTGGGCAAGGGATGGAGCAGCTTGCAGCTTATTTGGGGGGGTGCAGGGATGGGGGGAGGGCGGTTCCTGCCACTGTGTGCACTCCCAGCAAGCATGGTGGGGCATGTGCCCCTCAGATCTGTGTGCAGGGCGAGGGTTGGCTCCTGCTGCGGGCTTGCCCCGGGG